GGTGCCGCTATGGATATACATTGTGTGAGATGGAATCCACGCCCTCTTCCAGGACGTGCACGTTGGATACCTTCCAGTCTTGGCAGGGCAGTGGCAATTCTAGGATTTTTTAGGATGGAAGGAATAAAAGGGCCATAATTCATGCATAGAGGCCAACCTTATCATCTGAATCAGTGAGTCCCCCTGTGGCCCCACCCCATATAAGCCCCGGGGCCGGGGGGCAGGATCCTGCCATGATGGCTCTTGCCCCCCTGCTTGACCCCATGCTAGAGGCGCAGTCTGCATGTTTCTGATGGCCCAAAAATTGCTGCCATGAGTCACTGCTTCAGTGTAGCGGACCTAACCTGAGCTACCGAGCTAACAGTGCTAGCATTCTTGAAATATTTCCAGCCCGTTGGTATGCAAGCCAGTGTGGGCTGCCGATACAGGCTCGAGGAAAGAGATAAGCTTGGAATCAGACATGACAGGGATAATAGGGCTTCCCAATTTGTAAGGGACCCCTTTCAGACCATGTGGCACACAACTTCCTATAAATGGATTATAACATATAAACATAAACAGCCTTGTAATAGCAAGCACCCCAATAATCTGAAATATCATTATAATTACCATCATTAATATTAACTTCAGATGTTATGCAATGCAATATTATTTGCTGCTGTCCTTTTTAATAAAATCCCACCTCTACTTCCACGATATAGTTCATAAATCCAGTTAAGATCAGTAGACCTTGCCCAGTGGTCACAGCTGATATGAACTGGACAGCATCACTTACTAGTAAATCACCAGACGATCTAGTGCAGCAGATGTTTGCAAACCATACCTTGCACTTTGAACCTGTTTCTTAAAACATATGTTGTGATTTAATCCCAGCTGTCTAATGGTCTATCTGAAACGATCAATTCACCTGCAATTCAAAAGTAAAATTTTGGTTTGAGTCCCACCTGGGGCTTAACTGTTGTAGCCTGACCATGTAAATATAAATTTAGCTGTATTTATGGGCCAAATAGATTAAAGCACTTTATTCCAAACTATCCATCCATCCATCCATCCATCCTCCACAGCCACATATTCAGTACAGGGGCCATCCTGGATGCACTACCACTGATTTTATGCAATAGCACTTTTGGGTTATGATCCCAAACTCTATTTGCAATTCATTTTCGTGCCATTTTAAGACAGCTGGCAGCTTGGCTGCCGTCTCAACAAAGTGGATTTTACCAGGCTTCACTGGTTGCCTAGCGACCGATCACATACATCTATTGAGGCACATCGCCAGAATATCCTCAAGCCAGATGCAACAGTGAAACACGCTTACCGCAGACAAGATACACCATTGCGTAATCGATACACTGAGTGTAATTCAATGGACTGCAGGGGGCGCAGTGACTAAAGACGGAAAAAAACCAAGGAGCCAGCCCTGCCTTGCAGTAAAATAGTTGGTGGATAAACAGTAAGACTTTAACTCATAATTACTGTAGGCAAATAAATTAGCAATTAAAAAAGGATTTATTTATGAACGGCTAATTAATCCTATTAATGTTTTTGCTAAGATTAATACATTTTGAGTAAAATTGAACTAAGTTTGTTGACATAGGAATTACATAATTGTATATGCCCAAAGTTTACCACCTGCCAGGTCCCACCTTCTTAGGCAGGTAACTGATCTAACTGCTCAACACCCTTTTTAAACATTACTGAATGTTAAAATGTTGCACGGCCACGCTGGGTCACACTGGGTCATATTCAGGTGGTTCACACTGACCAAAATAATCTCATCTGCATGCCCCCCCCCCCCTCCAAAAAAAAATGGGACATGACAAATTTTAAAAATTAAGTTCCAGAAGCACATCTGACAGTGGCGTGGGAACTTATTTTTGCAAATATGGTGCGTGGGCCATTTTCATCCGTAAATCTTCAAACCCGAAGCACTGACAATAACAAGTAAAAATTAACCGAGATGATCAGGGAACGACCATAAGTAAGGTACGCGTAAAGTTAATGTGACTCTCCAGTGAGGGGAGATACACTGTAATGAACTGCAGCTTCAAAAGCTGGACTTCAGTGTTTGTATCAGTGTTCAAGCTTATCAGTCTCTAAGCAACCAGTTTTTAAATGGATGTGAACAAAGAAACCAAAAAACTGTCCTCCACAGCCAGTTAGACACTGCGTAGTGGTATTCAGATTTAACACTTTTAAGGATTCAGTTTTTAATGCACATCTCCATTCGGGTGGGGGGCGGGGGTCTCAATGTCCTCCACATGTGACAAGACCTTCCCCCACAGTACAAATACTTGCCGTTAGGGTAATCAGTGTCTCTAAATTGTCAGTGAAACACAATCGACAATAAATTATCACCATGTCCCTATGAGTACTGTTGTCACTAAATGGAAAGAGCACCACAATCCAGACAGCACCAATCAGACTCCCCCTCCAAAACTGAGCACTCTGGTATTTAACATTTAACATGATGTGGGGCATTATGCAAACACAGAAGAAAATCATTCCAGAGACCAGGTTGAGCTTGCAACAAAACACCCTATTAATCTTGCAGACAACATGTAGACATAGGTCATCGTCAGATTATATAGAACGACTGTGTAAAATCCAGATTCAACACAGACAGCAGTGACAGCATCAGGCTGTTGGGATTGCAAAGATGGACAGGACTTAGAGGAGAGTGGAAGGAGAGATAAGCAGCTATTGTGTGAAGAAGAACCAGCTTCAGTCTTCTGAAGAAAGATCTTCAGAAGGACTGAGACCCAAACGATCAGAGGAAACCTTAAACGGCTGAAAAATGAGAAAGTAAATCTTCAATTACACGTTTTCTCTAAGGGAAGAGATGTGTCAGATCCTGACCTCCGGTGAGGAGGCTTTGAATATTTCCTAGTTGTCAGTAAGTGATCTCCAGACGAACTCAGCAGGGCAGCAACAGCAGGACACGATTCAGAGTTGGGGGATTCTTACCCAAGAAGACTATCAGCTGTAGATGCTGGAAAAGGTGCTAAATATAATCAATTCATGACACTAGGCACATATGCCAATGGATTTTCAAAACTGATTTATATTTTCCAAAAATTGGGCCCCATAGGGAATAGTGAAATATGCCTGTGGCATATCTAATGGGTTTAAAATGCAAAATATGGCTTATAATATTACAAATAAGGACAACAACATAAATGAATTTGTGTCAATTCCTTTACTCTCATAGTCATTTACTTTAATTGCCTTGCATAACAGCCCCCCCACCCCCAAGAATATCAGTCATAGTGCAATGGACAGGCAGAGGACTGTGACCTGCCATACCCAGACCAGCGCCTGGTAGCCTTCTCAGGAAACTCCTACTCAAAGCCACCTTGAAATTGGTATTCTGTCTGGCCAGATCCAGCAACTCTGCCCGTGAGATCTTGTAAGAACTTCCCCCAGTCTCTCTCTTCCTTATTAGCTCCACTGCTTGTGTGTTGTCATGTATATTATGCATGAACATCTTGGGATGGATAATTCGATGCTACAGTGGGCCAGCAGGGGACATAGCAGTTAAAGACCTGGATCCATATGTCTGGAAGGTTGCCAGGTCACACCCCAGGATTGGCTTCATTCCTCTTCGTTAAGGCATCTAACCTAATTGCATTTGTAAATGTGATATAACATGAATTATATGGTTTGTGAGCTATTTATACTGGTTAGCATAAATACAGACATTCCCTATCCATAAATAAATTAACTTAACAGTATCTTCTCATGGAAATCAAGTATTTTTCTCTTAAATATAACAACTCTACCAACCGTAATGGTCAGAGATAGCTGAGAAAATGAGCAGGTCACTGATTTGCGTTTTCAGTTTTATTAATTACTTTCTTATGCATTTACAGTAATTATCCATCTGCCATTGCTGTGACCTCAGATCCAACCATGAAAATGTTCTCTGCACCGTTTAATTTGGCAGATACAGGACGTGTTCGTCAGACTACACAGGCGGCAGGGTAAAAGACCCTGAGGGAAACCGCGCTTCACAAAGCTTCCATCAGAGGATGCCGTGGACGGAAGGGCTCTAGGACGCCAGAGAAGCGGGGTTTCTGGAGAAGCTGGCCAATCACAGTCTCGACGGAGATAACAACAGTATGTGGTATGAGCCGGCCGACCTGTGCCTCAGGGGTCAAGTGTTTAAGGCATCAGCTACCTACTAAAGTTTACATATCACAATTCTGACAATACCCAGCTATACTTAAGCCACAGGCGGGTTTGTATTGTAAACTCGGCAGTCTTTTTTTGTGATAGCTTATATAGATACCCAGAGAAGCACTTCTAGAAACAAAGTTCTGAAAATGCCCTTTGGCAAGACGATTTCTAATGGCAGGAGACAGAACCAGCCGATCCTAAAAGAGATCACGGCTGCGGTGGGCTGGGCGAGACTGAAGGGAGCCCTACGCTCCTCGTGCTCCTGGGAGGTAAGAGGCGTTCAGTTTCAAAAATCCATGCTCAATGAGTGACATCTCAAACAAATCAAAAAACCTTAAAAATAACCTGTGCTTAAACTCATCTTCAGTTTCCAAATGCTTTTTTTTCTTTAATTGCGGTGACTGCCTGTCAACTCACTTTCTAAGTCAGAGTTTTTGGAAAAAACATAAAATAATCATTAAACGATCCTAGGAGCTCGATGCTATCTGTACATACATTGGGGTTTATATGCACCTGTTACTGAGAGCCGCTACACGTATTTCGATCCTTAGTAATTATACAAGCTCGAAGTAGCTCAGTAGCGCTCCGATATATTATGTAGCAGATAAATCAAAGCTTTTAAACATGAAACCCCCAATGGCAGTTTTGAGCACATGATCATCTACTTTCATTATACTTTTATCGGGGAAGAAAGATCACATTTCAAGCAAGGACGATGAGAAAACGCTGTCCAAACATGAACGTTAAGTCCAGCGGCGTCTGTCTTAAGCACCTACGTGAAGCAGATTCATTAACCATCCTGGTAACTTTTTCAGGTCAGTTATTTGATCTACCTTTGGTTACAAGGTTACCCCCGAGCGACGCATTCCCAGTTCTCCCAATGAATTACTTTAATTAATCGAGTAAACTTGCGCATCTGCAAATTAATGAGACACTAAATCTGTCTGCAAAATCACTGATGCCCCATTAGTGCTGATCTGACTCAGATCAATACAAACTGTGTTTTGCTAGTCACTCATTTGCTGTCACCTGCCATTAAACTTTCCGGTAAGAAACATCAGCGTCACTCGCAACTTTGAAAACTTATGGAGAACAAACCTTCGCTTTCGTAGGTGTACTTTATGATCTCCTCGATATCCACTCTGTAATCTTTGGGGTGAATTTCAAAGATGTCTATTTTGTAATCTTCCGAGTGCAGGATGTTGTGGACGCCCTCCAAGGTGAAGTAGCAGTTCCTTTCCTCCTTGTCATCGTCGAAGATGAAAAGCGCCGTCTTCCAACCGAAGTGATGGAACATCGCGGAGAAGGTCTCCGCCATCTTCAGGTAAGAAGGAGCGACCCTCGTTAGATGGGAGTACTCCTTTTCCTTGTTGCTGAAACCCGTAGCTAAAGCACCTGCTGAAATAACGGGAATATTCCAGTGCGACGCCATCCTCACCACCTGCGCGGCGGCGTACTCGCAGACGGGTCCGAGAATCAGGTCTGGCTTCTTCTTGCACGACCTGTCCACTAAATTGAAAAGTGCCTCGTTGCCGCAATCGGAATTGTCATAGTGAACATTGAAATTGAATCCTGAGTAGAGTCCTACATCGGATCTCATTTTTCTCCGTGCATACTCTATAGCTGGTGTGACTCTCGAAATTGAGAACAAGTAAGAGTTGTTTTTTGGCAGAATGACCAACACATCGATGTCTTCATTGATTGCACTTGTCCACACAGGTAACAGGAGGAGCGAGACGTAGACACAGCATTGCAACAGACATGACAGGTTTGCACTTAGAAAACTCATTTTATTAGTTAGCTATGGTTCAGTTCTGTACTAAACTTATGCAATATTTAGTTTGTTTTGCAATTTTAAAATATTTTACATTAGAGAACAGGCAAAGAAATTTAGAAATGTTTCGTCTTTAAACTTTTAGTTTTTTCCTCTTTTTAAGTTTTAAGATTTAAAGGATGTGATGTGTGCGAGTCTGCCGAAACCTTCCCGGTTTGTTAAAAATCCCTTCTATTCCCCTTAGTAGCGCTCCCGTTTCCCTAGTAATTCCTCTTGTTTAAATATGGTAACTGCCCTGCCTGCTGCCACACACGCTGGCTCCGGGCTGCAATTTTGAAGCATCCTCCTCATTATTATTCCTACGTCATAGCACAAGCGCCGCCTCCTTCTTAAAGGCATAACGCCTCCTTTCGGTGTCTGCGCAAGACGAGTGGTCGCAGAATTTCAACTTTCCCTTCCTTTAGATGCTGCTCGTTGCGATGTACTGGGTGCCGCTCTACTGTTGTTGGAAAATTAATATAATATTGGGTATCTTGTGAAAGATGCATGAGCATTAATCCAGAACAATAATCAACAAAAGACAGAAGTATGATAATTTTCTTAATAAGCTTAAACGGGTTCTATCTTAATGGACATTTTTCATTAAATATTTTCTCGAATCTGTAAAATGCAACCATCCAAGTATTGTCCGGAACACAACTAAAGCACGAATACGCATATATTTATATTTTTTAATAATTTTAAATATAATTGTTCATATGTGTGCCTGAAATATGATCCATATTCATGTCAGGCATACATTTTAATTACATTCTCAGGTAAGATTCAGAAATAACCTGAAAAATAAAAATCTTGAACCGCAGTACGCGAAAGTGCTTAGCAAAAGACATACCGAAAGCCTTTTGTGTAGCGCCCCCAAGTGGTGGAATACCATACTGCCATACGCTACTGTAGGTGGCGTATTGTTGCTTAACATTTCGTGCTTGTTATTTGAGAAGCTGAATGATTGGGACGCACAGAAAACATCTTTGTTAATTGATGGTTTCTGCGATCCGCGTATGAAGAAACGCCCCATGTTTTCTGTTTGTAACTGATGCGATACCATGAAAAACGTATTATCATATTACTCGGTACTGACTGGACGGGGTCGCTAACATAAATAAATGTTGAAAAACAGTTAAGAAGGCCAGCCTGTATTTATTCTGGCTCATTAACGTAACGGAGGGAAAATGACTCACCCAGCAACTTCTATAGACAAGTAACAATGTCTTATTCATGTTAGTTTTAAAGGACTGCTTAGTTTGCGGCTGGTATAATTTACGTATATGTGCGTGAGCTAGCATGCTGCCTACAGTTAAAACCATTAATTTGCCAGACGTCATAAGCATCCATTTTTGTCCAATCTCTTAGACAGATCTTTTCTCTGTGTTTTTGTTTATTTCTGCGTATATCAAATTCCTAATGATACCAACTGGGGTAATTTTACATTGCTAAAGTCAGACGTGAGACATGAGGCAAGTGAGTTGCATTTCCATTATTATTAAAATTAATTTTTATTCGTAGGTACAGACAGAAGTTTGTTTTGTTATTGCCTGTAAATATTTGTGTGTATTGCACCACTCTCCATTGGCTAAAGGTCTGATGAATTTGTGTATTTATATAATTCTTTTTTCACAAAACAGGTTGTTTTTTTGTTAATCCAATAAAATGGGCTGGTTTATGGATACTGCTCTTTTAAATCTATTAAAGTGTTCACGTAATTGGAGCCATCTGTCAGGTTCATCGAGAGTAGTGTGTTTCACATTAATGCTCCTTATACTAATTTAATGTCTCCTGCCCGTGGTTTGCAACGTCATGCTATCCAGCAGACGGATTAGTATCAGTCAGCAGCTCCTGTTCCTTCACCCGAGGGAGTTTGAGGCCTGACTCCCCCCCCCCCCCCCCAAAACAAAAAAACAAAAAAACAAAATCACAGTAACCTCGATAAGACAATATATGTTTTGTAGCAGCCTGTCTTTGTAATGATCCCTCAGAACCACGGTGTGACATGCGGACAGCCAGTGGCAGTGCCGGCTTTTCAGTAGTATGCTGACATTGATAGGCTGTGATGCTGTTACATGTTTTAGCAAAATATGTGTATGTGGATCAAAATCATATGCAAGAGAGTAAGTAAACATCTTAGATCTTGGAAAAGTAACAAATCAGAGATTGGAAGGGTGAGTAGGGGATTGTAGTCTTCTCAAAACCAAGCTGTTCGTTGACATTATATGTCAAAGTGTTTTTCATTTCATGTGGCAATGTTGACTTAAACCCTCCAGGAATATAGGGAAATATTTGGAATTCATGTTTCGAAACAAATTTTTGGCTATTGCTGACGAAAGGCACATACCCCCCCCCCCCCGTAAATGTTGCTCAACATCAATTAAAGTTCTCATGAGAAACAGCTATGGTATCTCCATGTCTCTGACACACTTCAAATTATTCACTAGTCACAAGTGCTGAATTACTTATTTAAGTTTGCAGTTGGCTTACTTATACATTGAGTCCAAACAAACGTAGCTACAATGTGACAAGTGTTACTGGATTCAGTCTGTAAGAGAACTGGAGGGGCTTTAAAGGTCCTAGAAAATTTTATCAGGCACTGGTGAGAGGCAAGAATGGTTAATTCTTTATGCTCACGGACATTCAGGGGTTTAAATACTTTGGGTCACAAACGATTTGATTGCTCGCTTGTTGGCTTTTTACATTCAGATATTGAAATCATTCTCATCTGCAGTTGATTTTCTCTGGGATGCTGTGATAATCAGACAGGGATTAGACTCAAGGAAAGCAGGGATTATCCTCAAAGGTGGGCACCGCCTGAAGCACAGACTGATCACACTGCTGCTGTCAGGCAGGCGGCACTGTAACATTATGGCCTGAAGCACAGACTGATCACACTGCTGCTGTCAGGCAGGTGGCACTGTAACATTATGGCCTGAAGCACAGACTGATCACACTGCTGCTGTCAGGCAGGCAGCACTGTAACATTATGGCCTGAAGTAGCAGCCTTCTACCAAAGCATCAGAATGATTAATAAACCTACTCACTTCATATTACTATATTATCCTCCATTTTATTTATTGTATTTATTTGTCTGTAAAGTTCCACACTATTTTTTGTCACTGTGTTGTATATTTTCTCTTTTGTACTTTTCCTTTCGCACTGCTACACACAGGTGTTTCACTCACCTGCATTCTGCAACTGGTCAAGTGACGTGACAAATAACAGACTGATTTGAGGTGCCATGACACCACAAGGGTGTTAACCTCCTCAGATATCCACATATAACTTACACACACCTGTGAAAGACTGTGTGTAGTAGCGTATGTCAGGTGGGTACTGACTGCGTAACAAATTGTGAAAGTACAGAATCTATACTCAACGGACTTGCAATGAGTTCACTAATATAAGCAAACCACTGAAAATGCTTAATAAAGATATTCATCTGGCCTGCACATTTTCTGCAATTTCATTAAGTTAAGTTAATACGTCAGACCTAAAAACAAAAAAAAACCCTGTGTTTATCTGAAGGTAAATAAGAAACTTTATTGGTGTGTGTGTTCTGGGGTTTACTGTGAAGCAAATGAGTCACTCAGTGATGAATGGTGAGAGGAAAAGGAATAAAAGTAATTGAAAATTTAATTACGTCTCCCATTAAAAACTGCATAACTTCTGCAAACACAAACATCTCGGCCAATTGTTTCATGGAAAATTGATACTGATGAGCTGTTTACACTGAACACTTAACTTCTCACAACGAGCAGCAAGCTGATTTTTCAGACAATTTGCTTTATTTAAATGACAATGCCTTACCCAATTTAATGATTGCATCATTTCGCAGTTTCCTCATGCAACATATCTGAATGCTATTACTTTGAGACGGGTTTCATCAAAATAATACATTTTTTTTTCTAAATCGTGAAATCACACTTGTTTGTTAGTGACACCTAGCGGTGACTTAATTTCGCAGCTGTCCAATTCATATACCACCTTCACATTCGCGAATTTGACATTCGCGGTTTCGGTTATTTGGTTATAGAAAGCTGGCTGTGGAAAATTATGTGTTTTAACTGTAGGCCAACACCTCTGAAACTACCGGAGTATTTTGCAAAACTGCATTTAATGCTGCTGAAAACATACAGTAGTTATATATTACCCAGGACACAGCCAGTTAATTAGTCTGCTTGCTTGAAATAAGCATCCAACTACCTGATTACCAGTGTTACAGACACAAAAGACCATCTTTTTAGACAACACTCAGCATATTAGACTACCAAGAGTTACAGTCATATCTCCTAATTTCTCCTGGGTTTTTATTGTAGTTTGCCACAATAGTGCTGCCATGTCACATTAACAAAATTAATTATGAATTCAACAGTTTTTTGTTTCTTTATTTTATGGATGAGTGACAAAAGTGTTCAAAAATGAGAGTGCTGAGTGGTATGCGACAAGAATACTGGGTTAAAGTTTTACATGCTGAAATCTGCCTAAAATGATATTTAGCCTTACCGTCCTGCGGGGCTTTGGGGAGGCCTGAGCAGCCGATTATGTTAGTTTGTCATCTTTCGAAAAAGGCGTATGACTGCACATGGAAACCAGCTCCGGCGGCTATTAAAAAATGAGTCTTTTCACAACAAGCGCACTGCGATGCACCATTGACCCACTGCACGCACTGCGATGCACCATTGACCCACTGCACTGGAAATGAACACTCCGGTTTCCTGGAAATACGGAAACAATGAAGAATGTGCGTGTTAGCCTGTAGGCCTAGGTTGCGTTATGTTTTACATAAACCCTTAGCTATAACATGAGAAGCTATATGATTGTGTGAACACATTTTCGTTTCCACATACACAAAGATGTGCAAATCTCTGACACCGATATGTGTAAACACATTAGTGAGTATTGTATAAGAAATAAAACAATTTTTCCACAAGTGACAAATATTGATATGTTGCATATTTG